GGTTCACGAACAAAAAGTCATTTTGACAACCCTAATCACGTAGCCATAAGATGTTAATGATTGGGGCAAGATTTAAAACATCATTTAAATCTAATATAATAGTTTGTATTCTATTTTCTTAATTAATAATTTTAATTTTTTATACATCTTTGTAGCCTTGTAATTGATTAGTAATATTTCGAGCCAAAAACGAGCCGAACACGAACGAACAAATATTAGTTCGTGTTGTTTGTGTTCGGCTCCGTAACTTAGCGATCGAGCTAACATGAGCTTCTTAACAAGTCGAACACTAGATGTTCGGAAACAACGAGCCGTTTTGACAGCCCTATCTGTTTATGACGGTCAGGAAATGACAGCTTAGTGGTGGTCAGGAAGCAATGTTGGTGGTATGTTGGTGGTGATGGCTCAATTACGATGGTCAGGCAGTGGTGGCCCTGTGATGACAGTTGTTATGGTATGCTCATATACCATAAAGGGACAGATACTGCAGCAGCGCGGAGTAGACATAAATGTAAAAAAGTATTGTTTAGGTTTTACATATGTAAATACATAGGAAATGGGTGGTATATGAACAATTGTCTTTGCAAGTTGAAGGAAAGAGTTGCTAATGGTCATAATAAAAATATTTAGGCGTTAAGAGCATGTAAATATATAAAATTTGAGGGTTATGTATATAAATTCCCCAAAATATTAATGAATTTATAAAAAAATTTCCAAACTAAATCGAACGGTTACCAATTAGCCTTAAAAGCATGATGGCAATGATTTGCATTGATTAATGAGATCAGTTCCGGTGGAATATTTCGCCAGATTTTCTGAAACAATTTTCGCGCTGAGGTGCTCCGCAGGAAAATGGTCTGACAAAATTCCAACGGTTCATGGTGGATGTCGGCCTGTTTAACTGATGAATTTATGGGCATCAAAATCGGTTGGAAACTTATAAACATCAAAGGGAATTTACATACATACCATGCAATATTTATGTTCTTATACATCTAATACTAAAAATTTATTTTTTAATATTTATTAGGGCTGTCAAAATGACTCTGAAGAGCTCGTGTTTGGCTCGTTAAGAAACTCGTGTTCTGCTCGTTCGCTAAGTTAACGAGCCTAACACCAGCAAATATTTGTTCGTTCATGTTTGGCTCTTTTATATTGATGAGTAGTAATTTTAAAAAAATTTAATTGACTACAAGCCTACAAAGATTTATAATCAATTAAAAGTATTAATTAAGAAAATAGAATAAAAATTAATAAATTATATTCAATTGATGTTTTAATATAAATAATAATTTTTAAATCTTGCCCCAACCCTTAATAGCTTATGGTTACGTGATTAGGGTTGTCAAACCGACTCTTTGTTCGTGAACAGCTCGTGTTTGGATGGCTAAGCAAATTAGCCGAACACATACACACTTTTTGAGCTCGAAATATAAGCGAGCCAAACACCAGCTGAGGCTAGGCTCGCTCGTGTTCGGCTCGTTTACACTCCTAATATGATTGTAAGAGAATAAAAATAAAGAATGTACATCATTTCAGGCATAAATAAGACGACATGCATGCGTAAAATTGAAGTTTAATTGTTAAATATGTACATACATAAGAATTGAGTGATAAGCAAATTGTTGGATCTGCATCCCTTATAATGGCAAGTTTTATCATTAGAGCTTGGAGATTATTTCTTCTCAATTTTAATTGATGAAGCCTATGATAATTGTAAAAGAACAAATGATTATCATGTTGTATTATGGAATTAAGCCCCATAAAATTATTGGGCCTTTTTTTTTTTTGTATTGTTATTTTTTCTAATAAATCACTTAGTAATTCTCTTAAAATAGCTCCAAATATTTTTTTATGTGAAAATAAATATGCTCATTATATTTTCACATCAACTTCAATTAGCTTGACTATTTCTTACTAAAATTCATATTTAAATTGGCCTATTATTCAATATGATTTAAAATTTAATGAATCTTGTTCGTATCTCATATAAACAATATTATCAACTCAAAAAAAAATAAATAAAAAAATAAAATAAAAAACTTAGAAGCAGTAATAAATGACAAACATATTAGATGATGAATATTAGACTAAAAGATTACTCTTAGACGGGCGTGAGATATATAATGGGGTTTAAAAAATGTACCATCAACATATTTGATCGATCATATAAAGCACAACACTCATATTGGTGTTGATCAAAGCAGTGAACAAAATCTAAAATGAGTATCACCACTCAAAGATTTGGGTTTAGATTTAGTTTGAATTTGAATATAAAGATTTATAATTGGTGTTTAGATTTTGATTATATTGAATTGAATTGAGAAATTTTTATTGTGGGTTATGAAGTTTCTATAGACAGAATAAACAGAAGACTCACATTGAAAAACATAGGCAAATATTGTCTAAGATATTTTGGTTTGGATTTCCAAACTTGATTATGAGCATGGTGATACTATGATTGAAGCATGACTACAATAGAAAAATAAGCTTGGGAACACAGTTATTCTAGGAGATATATAGGGTGATTATGTCAAGAAAACAAGCACAAAAACTCACACATAACCTAAGAGTTGATCGAGAGACCATATCAGAAAAATAAGCATGGACTCACACTTAACTCGAGAGTTGATTGATAAAATGCTACCACTAGGGACATTGCACCTATTGTAAAAAAATGATAATTGACTATAATATGATAGGAAACTCAAAGACTCATGCCTTACGTAGGATAGACATGTTGACTAGATCAATAAAAGAAGTACAGAGACTCACACCTAACTTTTCAACTAGTCAGGTGATCAGATTAGGAAATGAAGCATGGGGACTCGCCTTACTTAAGAGCTAATCTAGGAGAGGCTATCATTTAGGACATTACGCCTAACCTAAGAATTTTTAACTAACTACACTAGGATAGTTATGGTGATAAACATATTCATCATGATCTTCTTAAACGTGAAATACACATCAAATATTTGTGGCTGGCTTTTCTTTACACATCATGACTTCTTAAAAGTAAAATACACATCAAATATTTGTCCCAAGCATCCAATCAAAGTTTTGATCGCCAGTTTAATGAATCTTTTCTGAGTCCCATATAAACTTTGTAATCAACACAGAGAGAAATAACAAGAGAAAACTTTAGATATATTAGAAAATGAAGTGCTTATCATAGGAAAAAGATCAAACTAAGAGATCACTCTTAGACAGGCATGTGATATATGGATTAACATTATGTGATTGGGGACATTGATCACAATATTTTTCTCAGTAGTTGATATATTAAAAATTATTATGGAGGTTTTATAAGCTCTTAATAAAGGGAAGAGGAATGTGAATTATTAGAAGCAATTCAAACATTTGAGCTCTTTATTGGTCTTTATATGATAAAATATATCATTAAAATTACTTTTGAAATTTCACTAGCATTATATAAAATATCAAAATATAGTGAATGTTATGCATTGATGGACAACTTCAATAGTTGAATAATAACTTTACCAATGCCAATACATAACTGTTTTAGTTTATTTCATCAGGATATAAATAAATTCATTTATTTATTATTTATTATTTATTATTATCATCTTTTATGTTTTTCTTTACTCTTTTCTATTTGTAATATTTAGTTAAATTATTCTATTTTTTTTATTTAAGTTTAAATTTATTTATATAATAAAAATTGAATGAAAAATATGGAGGCACGAATCTCAAAGCAATGTGACGGTCAAGGCAGAAGACGATCGTTGGGGGATCGAACGACCGACTAACAAAATAACATGGGTCTCAGAAAGAACAATGATTAGAGAGGAGCAGACGATCGTTGGTGGATTGAAAGTTCGATTCACAACACAACATGGATCTTAGAAAGAATAATGGTCAGAAAGGAGCGGATGATTGTCATTTACAGAAACATCTAATCGGTTAACAAACCAAAGTTCTGGAGGTCATTCAAATACAGTTCAGACGGTCGATACAA